ATCTAACACAGTTAACTTGTTCTCCGTCTAGTAGTAGCTCTATCCTCATAGAAGTGCCAAATAAAAAAAAAACTTTACAAGCTTTAACTTCGCAATAGGACTAAAGGTTTCTAGATAATCTTCCCATACGCTTAAGTAAAACCTTTAACACATATTCGGGCTTTAAAATTATTGACGCCACCGTCAAAGTTGCTATTATCTGTAAAGACCCACTTGCAACTTTTGAAATGATAGAAGAATTTCTTATTTTTAACATGCAACTACTCTAACTTGGCGCTATAATGTGCTTCATAATAAGTCCTTGGAGTTGCATTGTTACGCGCATTAGGTGTTAGAGCTTGAGTTAATAGGGCGGTGTCAATTTCTCAGATTTACAAGTTTTTTAGCACAATCCTCACCAGCTCTGGTGCGTCTACCACTAATGATTCCTCCCCCAACGTCAATTTGGTTTTCTATAATACTGAACGAAAGGTCAGCACATGGTGGCAAGTCACCGCAGGATCCAAGTTTTTGGTTGAGGCAGTTGCAACGACTTGACTTTTTTACCTGGTTGGCTGTGGTAAAACGCCAGTCAGATAAGTACAGTGAGCCGTTTTTGTTCGACTCCTGAACACATTCATCCTTAAATATGAGGCTCTCGTCAAAAGAACATATTTGATAAACACGAATTTAAGTAAGTGATGGTGGACTAAAAATTTGTAAGTGTCGAAACCTACAAAGTAACCTACTTTACCTCGTTCATCCAGATTAGACTCAACAGAACTAATATAATAATAGGTTTTGCACCCAGAAATGCGACTTTCGCTACGGCGATAGTTCATGTGCAAGTTGACTAAGGAGCTGTAGATGCTGTCCTATTACTTAGAAAAAAGGCTGACGGAGAAGAGGTTTCACCCCATAATAACTTGGGTAAACCAGAGCCGAACAGGATGGCCTTGCCATGGTGATAGACGTCTTACAGTTTTTTCAGCGGCTCCAACTCTTGTGTATGGGGACGTCTAAGTTGCTGTGACATTTGTAATTATCAATTTATCAAAAAGAAATTATTAAAAAATGTCTTAGAGTGTAATGGTTTATGGGGTCCCATTTTACTGATTTTGCTATAGAGTCCATAAATATTAAAATTGTTCGGGTAACTTCTATTAATACTAAGCTCTATAATCATCGAATACACCCATAAAAGCATATAGCAAACTTATAACCCACAAATGCAGTTGGATTGATAGGCTGACGATATCAACTTTTAAAGTTTAAAAAGCACAGTAGTAGCCTTATACTTGGCCTTCTTAGTAAATTTTGTTCTTTTACACTTTTCCATGTTGGGAGTTTTCACAGATAAAACCACCTGATTAACTTTAAGTTATATTAAAGGTTGTTAACCGAATTATTTATGACCTTAGTAAAATGGTCTTTCTCCAAAAAATGACCTAGTCTTCGATGCCAGATGTCAAGCTTCCTTTAAATAATGCATTAGCAGGAAAATCCTTAACTTCCACACACCTGTTCCAGAGAGAAAAGGATGTTTATATTATTTCTTCTCGTGGTTAAACTGGACGGTACACCCATTTTCTGTAAGCTTACAAACTGACAAAACGTTTATACAGAAATATGCTTAAAACTTAAGTTCGAGTATATACTAACAACACCTTGTAGATTGCACTTATGACGAATCCATCCGCTGATGGGTGTTAGGGTCGATGTTATAGAGGTAAAGAAAACTTGTCTTCATATAAATGAAGACTAGCGCCTCTGTCCATCTTAATCGTTTTGCTTAATTACGATATGGCTTGTTTTTCAATTGGATAGAGCTAGTTTTCAAAATAAGCAGAGCAAGTAGATTATAAGAATATGCGTTAGTAAATTTATTATTACAAGTACCGTTATTAATAAAGTTCATACAACGATGGCAGCGCGTTTGACAGATTTTGTAGGCGTGACCCCTCCGTAAACAATACTATATAAGAGACAGACGAATTTATAAAAATGTTTTCCGCAGATGCACTAGGATCCTTTTTCCTTCTGTTTAAATTTTGGTGTTGGTTGCAACAATACTGGTTTTTATCATCGTGTCTTATTTATAGACATTTTAATTTAAGCTCCTTGTCTAATATGGATGTACAGCTTGAAAAGTAGGATTGAACTGGAAATTATTATATAAATAATGTTGCTATGTTTTTTTGAAAGCCCTCTTAAATAAGAGACTTGCCCAAGTTTAAGTGTCTTTTCCTCGAACAGTTTACTATACTGTCTACAAATAAATTTTATATGACTTACATACTCTTGAACATTGCAAAAATATTAAGTTGTGAATAGGTATTGACTTTCGTGCTCTAGCAGGAGAAGGCAGTAATTACGTAACACACGGATTTTGCCGTCATGGTCAAGCCCTTAGCATTACCTAATTCCAGTTTGCCAAATCAGTTGAAACAAGATCTTTACGCTGGTACACGGAACCACAGCCCAATTTGGAAGGCAAGACAAGAAATCTAACTTTCCAAACCTAATTGTTATCTCCAAACAAACTCTATAAAACTAAAGCTAGACCTCCATGTTATTTATAATAATAATAAAAATTAAAAAACAAAATGAAGCAAAAATTAAATAAAAAACAAATAATATAAATAGATAAATTTATAATGAAATAAATAAGCCAAAGGGCTCTATTCTGTTAAATAAATAAATAAGGTAATCAAACGACCTTGATATAAAAAGGGAAAAACACGTGAGCAAGAGGAAGAAAGCAAAAGAGATAATTATACCAGGATTTAAATTTTAGAAATAAATAAAACAGATGAATAAATATAAATAAAATAAAGTATAAACATACAAAAATGTAAAATATAAAAAAAAGAGCAGAAAGGAAATTTAAAATTTCCCCCCTGATCTTTACTCAACAAAGTTTAATATATATATCCATTCAGCTAATATAAAATTTAGAATTAAGGTTCCGTTTAAGATAAAATTATTGAGGCTAGAGATTTATAGCTTAATTTTTAATGGATGTAATTTTAAAAAATATATATTAAGATTTGGGCAGGAAGACGGATTAATTTACTTATATTTTGAGAAATTTTGATGATAATACTTTAACTTCCATTAATTTTTTTTGGAGTATATACAGCTTGATAGAATAAAAATCTATTGAGCTTCACGAGAAAATACTTATAGTATTTTGTATGGCTATAAAAGTTATGTGGTAGCAATTATTATTTTATGGTAGTGATATATAACAAAAATTAATAAGGGGAGCTCATCAACCCTGACGGAGAAATAGAGGAGAGGCGATCACTTCTTTAGGAAGGGTTTTTACCTTCAGGTAAGTAATACAAAATGAGCAGGTTGGCAGTTAGAATACAATACATATCACATTAATAGCATATTGATAGCCACCAATAACTGCTTCAGTTCTATCACAATAATTGACAACTAGTATCAGCAACAATCATTTATCGTCAGAGCTATTTACCATTGCAGGACAGTTAAACGAAGAAGAGTGAAACAGTCGCGTCCGTTAAGTTTATACCAACGCTAAGAACTGGTAAAACACAAGAACCTATGACTGTAAGCAAAGCACTCTGCAACAAAGGCACAAATGGAGTATACCTAATATACAAACCCAAAAAATATAATTAACAAATATTACCACAATAATTCGTGAAAATATTAATAATGATTAACCACCAGTCGAGAAAAACAAAGTACTACATACCTAAAAAAAAACTTAAAATTTGGTTTTGAACTTAACACCCTACCAGACCGCGGTGGGGGCTCTCTAACTGTGTGAACAAGAGAGGGCAGAGAACCGCCCAGAGGAGCGATTAAACGTGCCTAGTTTTTCTTCCTTGGAGGTTCTTGGGGTTTTTACGACCACTTTTTAGTGGCTTAGAGTTTGACACACCTAAAGGAAAAACAGTTTAAATAAGGAAAGCTTACCTTAGCCAAAAAACTCACGGGATTAGTAAAACATAACCCTTTACCTTTATTAACCTGTGGTTGTCATCAAGATTACAAACAAGTGTCCATATCTGAGCTTAACAGTATAGTCAAACGAGACTAATTTTAAATCACATGACAGTCTGTTTTAACAGAAGTCGCTGTGAGGGTCTTTAGTGCGAGGGGGCACCACCCTTTTAACTCTAATATTTATAACTTAATTTAAGAACTTATTAGTAAACACACGAAGGATATTAACACCGCATGTGAGAATTAAGAAACCAGCATATATACAATTTTCTCAAAGGATGCTTTATTAAAAAAAAACATTTTTAAAATACAATATTTTTTTCAATTAAAAGGTTTACAACTAAATTACTATAAAGCAAGAAGACCAGAGACTTCGAATGATGTATTCCGAGAATGAGAAGTTAAGAAATGAGCACCTACCAGTAATTGTATTTTTTTAATTAAGAACATAGACGCCTTAATCAATGTCGAAAATTTGAAGACCATCAAATAAGACCCACGTTCTAATTTTGGGTGGTATGTGTACGCATCCCCCATTCAAAGTATGATGGGCTTAACAATTTGAATTTACTTAGCTGTGCTAAAAAATATTTGTTACAAATATATGTTCCTTTTCTTTTTTTTGTAAAGTTTGTTTCGTTGAATGTAGGGGTTTGTGATCAAAAATTTTACTGCATAGCCCACAGTTTGTAACTAACCTATTTAACGTTATGATCTAAAATGCAGTGTTTATTTGTTATATAATAGAGCTTTATTGTATAAACACTAGCACTTAAAGACTAATGAATAGAAAATAACGATAGACTAAAGAATATGAGAAAATCTATAAAAAATAATCTACACAAGATATTACAGAGGCATTAAGCTTTAAGACCGCTCCCCTTCCTCTATACTAACTGGGTAACCAGCTCATTTCTTTCTTCCAACTCTTTGAATGTTTGTGGTTGTTAAAACAACTAAAAGTAAAGTTTAAATTTTATAGCCTTTTTATAGCTTAGATATTACTGTTTTTATTGTGTTTTTAATAAAAAAGTAAATTAGGTCGAGCAGTGAAAGAGACTGAAAAAAGTTGACCAGAAAAATTGAAGACAGTTCTCGAAGTGACCGTCTTAAAATATTCCGGCAGAATGCGCTAATTAAATATTATAAATCTTAAAACATTATAAAGTGGTCCGGCTATTTGATTTCGGCGAGTAGTGTATAGGCTTGTGCTTTTTCATTGACCGAGTGCCGTGTATAAGTAGGAAACATGACTGGCAAAAGAGTTCATTTTCGCACGCGGGACAACTTAAAACTGCATCGTCATTGCAAATATTGCACCAAGGAAACTCTTCCGAAGAGGATCCTTCCTCTTGCCCGAAGCATTTCTAAAAAAACAAATATAAAACACTTATAAACCTTTTATTTAGAAATGACTCATCATTAACATGAATATCAGGCCGTTTACCTTATCGCAAGGAGTCGAACCTGTCTAAAATCTTGGTATGAAACCACGAAAATAAACTTAGCAACTATCGATATTTACCGTTATAACACCTTTTTCAAGGTCTGTTTTCGAAATCCGAACGCCTTGTTGCTGTTTTAATTCTTGAGCAAACCTAATAATTTAATTTTTAAGTTTTTTTCAAGCGCTGGAAAGCTTTACCATTTTTAAGGTAGTACAGATAAAAGCACTCGATAATATGTAAAATTAGCGGTTATATAAAACTTAAAAAGGAATATAAAGTTAAAGCTGAAGGACAAAAAGTTTTAACCTTCCAATAAAAAAATTCTAACCAAAAAAAAGCTTTTTTAAGGGGAAAGAGATGGAAGAGCTCTTAAAACCTGACCTAGGGGGTAAAATGTAACGATGTCTCGTGTTAACTTGGTCGACTACTCTATTGAGGAACCGGTAATTAAGAAACATAAACGTTTCGCGTTTATATAAAAGCACATAAGGTGTACAGGTAGAGAACCACTTGACAATATGTATTGAACATTATAATATATTAGTATAATTAATTTTTTAGGAAAGGGAGAGAAAATGTTGATAAAGTGGGTAGTTAGATTTTTAATAGCTTAATAGATAAGCTGGGAAACATTTTTATAGGGGTAAAGGGGTAATGCTTGGGATCGGAACTAAATCCATTGCTTAACTTGTGTTGCTTAAATAAACATTAAGGGAGAAAACGATGGGAATCAGCAATAAGAGGCCGAGGAGTACCGCCTTCCAATTATTCAATAAAACATAGAAATCGCTTAAAGGAGCAGTCAAAAATATTATTTGGATTAAAATTAATAATTAAAAAATGGTAAGTGTGAAGATTTCAGTGTAACTGCAATACTCAACACCGCAAACAGATAAATATAGCTCTCAGCAATTATTTAACTCCATAATTTTCTCTATAAAAAACTTTTGCGCTCTTGCCTCCTCAAAAAAAGAGTCAGTAGGGATTTAAGCTTTTTTTTTTCTCTTCATTTCAGTAGAGGATTATTAAGATACCAAAATATATTTCCCAAACACATAATATAGTAAATATATATAACTTTTTGAGTTCCAAAATTTTTTCTTCATATTTTAAGTTATCTTCTTTAAGATTTAAATTTGTGAATTTTTCACTCAATTTCCCGCTTCGTGCGGGACCCTGCAAGCCCTATATTTATAAAGTAAGTACTATCCTTATTTATACTATGTCTATAATAAAAAAAAACAAAATCGTAAAGAAATAAATAAAGTAAGCATTTTAAAAAATTTAAATTTTAAGATAGTTTGTAGGGATTAATAAAGTTTAACAATTCTTTAGCTTATATTTTAACCAAGTAACTGTCTAACCGCATATCCTTCATATGTATATTTACAACGATCTGAAGTATAAACTTAAACTCATAACTTAAGGTGCGAGAAAATTCAAAAAATAACTTTATGGAATAGCATAACTAACTTACAAAGTATTAATAACATTTTATTAAGAGTAAAAATTAATTAAATTACTTATCTTAAGTTTTTTTTAATTATTGTCCCTTAGATTTGTAAGGTTACTTGTTATATTAATAAATCAAAAAAAGTAAGACTACATATATTAAGATATTTATATGTTCTTCCCTTACCTGAAAAGTTAAGTCATTATAAATGGGGGCTTTGAGGGTATGACCAAGTGTAATAAATAAAATTGAACAACTTTTATGTAAAAATATAAATCAAAAATTGAAATTACAGTATTATTTGAATCCGTAGTGGTAGATGAGTTTTTTAATTTCGTAACTCTCTCTTCAAGTTTACAAAGGCTGAAACTAAAATTTTTATAGTATAAAAATAACTTCAATATTTAAGTACCTAGCTTGAGTTATATTAAGTTTATTTTTCTCTATAGGAAAAGGTAATAGGGCCGGGATAGAAAATGCAGGCTTACCTTTTGAATAAGTACTACTAAAAACTTTAACAATAGGTCATAAAAGGGAAGCAAAAAAAGGAAAAATAGTGGTTCGCAAAACTTAAGTTAACGTGCAATATTTTCTAACAATTCAAGCTTTTCCGAGTAAAACAGTGGCATATAAGTGCCTTATAAAAAATAACTAAAAACTTTATGCTTAAATTAAGATTATATACAAGAGTTTTTATCACGACAGCAAAGAGCGCAAAGTCCCTTTTTAGCATTTTTCTCTATTTTTAAGCATTCATTACAAACGGATTTTTTACAGTATTCACATTCCAACTGTTTAAAATGCAATATATTAGTATATAATTTATTAACGAAAAAAATATATAATATCTACTCACCTCTTCTAATTTTTTACTAAACTTTCGAAAGCAAATATGGCACTGCATATCGCAGAACAAAGATTTTTAAACTTTTGTAGGCTAAGATAGAATGAAAACTATTAATTGTTTATATTACGTTTTAAGTTATTATTAACAATACAGCCAGCAAGTGTAGTGCTCGAACTCCCGCCCTTTGAAAAAATGTGGCCCTCCCCTTCCCCCTCTCTCCATACGTGCGCTTTTTTAATGATGTTAGGAAGCTCCTCTTTCTAACAGGAACAGATTAATTTGGATATCCAAGCTTGGCTAAATGACCTGGCCCGAAGGTGTCGTGAGCTCGATTCCCACTAAAGGGGCTCTCCTCTTAAAGCTTAGCTTGTTGCGACCCTGCCCCTATATATTTTTATATCCTCTTCTCGCATAGTATAAAACTGTAGCACTAACAAAAAGAAACTAAAAGTAATAATTATTTATTAAATAATCACGTTACATGCTTCTATATACACAGATATGCACTAAACCAACTACTGTACACTACCTTCACGCACGCTTTGACGTACACTAAAATTGCTTGTGGGACCTTAGCAGGTTATTAATGCTCCTTAATGAGCACATTATAAAACACCAAAATTTGAAAACCTTCCGTAACTTCGTGTAGGTGTTAGACTTTTAGGGTGGAATATATATTTAAGTTATCCTGAACAAATTCCTGAAATTCTTCAATTCTAATTCACTCGGAAAGTTCATCAATGTGCTCAGAAACTCTGTCTAGCCATTTCTACCACACTTTTTATGAATATTTTTATTAGTTCACGTTTCAGCCCTCGTAGTTAGCTTGGGGTTTCTCCCTAACCTATAAAAAGCATTGGAAAATTTTATATCATTAGTACCAGTCTAATCTGTTAATAGGTTATATTCTGACTCCTTTCTTAATAGTGTAAACTTTGGACATACACTCAGTACATTAGTTATTCTATAAACAGAGACGTAGCCCTCTAAAAGTTAAGCCACTTAACTTTATTAGCGCACGCTTAATGATAAATTCTTAATGGGTTGAATATTCGACCAACTTATTACTTTGGTGAATAAAGTGAGCTTTAACACTTTTTTCAACAAGAAAACGGGTAATCGTCTTATAAAATCGCTTCCTATTAAGCAGTTATTTTCTTGGGAGATAAACACCTAATAATCAGGCATTTTTTTGCCCTTTTCGATATATTCTACAAGAGGAAAAGGCCCACACAAATCGTGCTTTCCCCTGCGTTTTAGCATTTTCCGGCAACGAATGCTTTAAAGTGCCTCAGTATCTATTAATTTAAGTTTTTCTAAGAAGTAGAAATTCCCTACGAAATCGTTGATTTATTTCACACTTAGTAACTTTTACTATTGAGACATGCAGTGCTTTTTAAATAATATAATTTATTCTACTAAATTTAGACTTTTCTTTACATTTTTTTTCAAAATAATATTTATTTATTTCATGAAAAAACTTTTATAATGTCTTAGCAATATACTTGCTTCGTTCTTTATTTCGAGAATTCATTTCAATGTCCGATAAATATTGCTCATCAGAGGTTTGATTATTTAAATTCTTTTTTTCCTTACTATTCAGCATTTAACGCATTAATAAAAAGTTCATTAAGTTTTAATGATTAGTTTCGACCAATTTTTTTACCTGAATACCTCTATCTGTTGCATTACTATTTTCTTCGAGATAAATAGAACTAACGAATAAGTTATAATGCAAACGATTCTTGTATTTTAAAAATAAGATATCCCCAATTCCTAAACAACTGGCCTAGTCCAAGTTAATGAGATTCCTAGCCACCGAAACTCCCTTTTTTTAACAGGCTTGCTCTTCTTTTATCGTATTCTAACGTAATATTTTTTATATCTTTCAACGAGTTTCAAAGTGTTTTAAAGTGATATTCTTTTGCCATTAAGCGGTTGTTTAGGTCAAGATGAGAGTTCACCTTTAATAACCTAAAACACATTTTTACTTGACCTCACCCTTACGTGTTCCAAGAAGTAGAATAATGGTGGCACTCGAGGATTCAAAGACCGTTACACATAGTTATAGCCCTTTTGCCGCTTTAAAATTGCTAGAAAAGTGATTGCATGGTACTAACTGTTAATTGCCTAAAGTCGGTAGTGCATTCGATGAAACCAAGAACAGAGAAATTTAGTCACCGTGTCATCCCTTCTTAATTTGGTATTGTAAGCCTCCCGCGGATAATATTTTTAACTTCAATTGTATGCTGAATGTGTCTCGCTATTATCTGCATAATTGTAGGGTTTAAGGTGTTGTCATTGTACTATGAAGTGAATGTCCAAGAGTCAGCAGAAATATCCTGCTTTATGCACAGTTCTAGATGCTTCGGTTAATTTTTCCCAAAATGTGTACCTTGGAGTGGTTACTTAATGTGTTCTCACTGTTTAGGTATTACTTGTGCGTTCTGGGCACAGGAGGAAGTTTGAATCGTGCATAACCACTCGGCTTGAATGGTAAAGAAATCGTTTACAGTAGACTAAACTTCTTAACCTTTGTACCCCTATTATAGATTAGTAAGGCGGTTTTAAATAAGAATTAGTTCTCTTAGAGAGGCCGTGATACCTTAGTTCATTAGCGAGAGGTAAAAAAATTAATAGTCATACTAAACGAAAATAAATTACATGGCCATAATTAAAACTATTACATCCTATAATTATTAATTATACTTTTTGAGGGAACTTCTTAAAAATATTATATAATTGTAAGCAAAACAAGTTGCTTTTAGGTCTCTCTTTTTGTTTGCCTTGGTCTCTGTCTTTGTTGAAAAGTTTGATTGTATTATGTAGGGTTCTTCCCATTAACCAAAGTCTTGCGCTATTAAAAACTGCATTTTGATAATTAGCTCTTTTTATATATAGTTAATAAGCTGTCCCCTTCTATGTGAAAGACACCTGGATCCGAACTTTATATCTCGCTATATATTTGGCTAAGGTTTTATAAGGCATTTCAGTCTTGCTAGGCCTTTTTTCAATGGCAAAAGCCGTGTCAGGTCTAAATGATATAGCTTAATTAAGCAGGTAGGCGATAAAATCTCAAAACGGTACGTCAATTGATAGTTCATTAAATATGTTATGTTCTTAAAGGTTATACTCCACTGTGGTTTAGCGTCATTAATATAATTCTTTTTTAATGATTTAATTCAAGTGATATCCTGCACAACTTTAATTCTTTTAAAGTCACATCCTTCCGAGGACTTTAAAGTCGTTAGTAGAGCTTACAGAATTAATTATTTCGCCGCTATAAGTTTTTTCCTATCGCCACTAGAGCAGTCTTTAACATGCAGCATAAGCAAAGTGAATTTCCGGTTTTGTTTTTATATACAAACGGGCACTAAAAATACATAGAATACCAAACCACGCCACAGCTTCGCCCATGGTTAGGTTTCTCTTTAACTGCGTTTTTTTAAACCCGGGGTTTGCTTTAAGCAATTTAACACAGTTTAACACATGGTCAAGCTCCACCCCTCACTTGGCTTCTATGTTCGTTTCTCTTTCAAGTATGACAATAAACATTCTTTCCAAGTTAAAACTAATGTATCTTCCTCCTTATTAAAAAAACTAAACAGAAAAAGAGTTCAACAGTCTTCAAACTTGGTAGCATGAGCGATTAACAGAATTTTACAAAAAGAACAATTGTAAATAAATAGTTTATATTACTATATACATTTTCTAATGATTGTTGGCAGTAAATAGTATAACCGTGTCAAGATAAGTCGAATTTAACATGGTAGCCTACTTTTGCTTGTTCGTCTAATCTAAGCTTAAAAAGATTTATTTTTAAGGTTTTTTATCCATTTCCTATCTCTCAGGCCGTAAATGAATAACTTAAGTGAAAAGTAATGCTAACGGCACCATTGATAGGGTACAAGATTTGTATCTGTAAAAGGTTACAGACGAATATACGAAATCGGCTACTTAAATACTTTCATCTTCTAACTTAGCTTCTTTCACTAATGTCCAGTTAGATCAAGAGAATCTGCTTGCTCGCCTCAGAAGGCAATGCATGGATTCTTCGCGTAAGCTCCATCCAATCAAAGCTCAGGGTTTCGTAGCCTCTTTGTTTCAATCAAATTGTTTCATAAGTCAATGAGTTAGGGTTTCAGTGTCTGGTCAAGGAACATAAAGGCGCCAGTCCAAAGTATGACAATAACGGACCCCTAAAAGCACAGGTAAGGTAGAAAATAGCCTTTCTACCAAAATTAAAAGATCTTTCGACCTCAGGAATTTAGTTTCGTACCTCCTATAACCCTCCGGAGTACAAGGCAGCCCCAAAATAAAGCTTAACTTAGGAAGGTACCATAATCACGCTTTATCGACTTTTATCGTCGTTAATGAGACCAAGCATCAAAACAGATGCTAGCCGTATCTTGCTAAGAGTGTAAATTAAGCAAATCAGAGAGCTTTCTAAAACAGCTTACTAACACATCAGCCATGACACCTCAGAAGAGTAAGGGGTGCCTTGACCCAAAACAGATACTCCTGCACCTAACTTGTAATGCACCTCCGGGTGGCTCTCTAATAACAACCCTAGATTAGCCCGCAGGGAGCCGCCGGGAGTTAGATCGCTGGCAGACGTTTATTTGATATAGAGCCGATCTATTTTGACCGCATAACGAAATTAGCTTTTGGACGAAATGCAATCCTTGCTTGAACCAAGAGATTACTGGACTAGACCGAAAGCACCGACAAAAGCTAACAGTCGTATGCGCCCAAAGGCGCAAAATACCCCCACTCAAGGTACCAAACTACACAGCTGAAGCTTTAAAAAATAGGCTTAACTTTAAATTATGAGATATAGCAGCCAAAACGTCTGCGATCGCAGCCCGTTGAGAATGCTAAGCCAACACCTGCACAAAAGAAAGATAAAGATAAAAATGAGCGTGTAGAGCAGACTCGAGCGTCGAGGTATGTGTATTTAAACATATATCTCTTATACATTTTTTTTGGGAGTTTAATTCTAATAAAGGGCCATTAAAAGACCTTAAATAGTGTTATTACCCAAAAAGGTATCGAACCAAAAAGGTATTGGCTAGGTTTGAACCAGCCTATCCGAGAAGGATGTTTTAGCAGTTAAACTACAACACCTAAGTTAATACGAAGTATTTTCGAAACGACTGACATAATTTTTCATGCAGAGAACAATTTTTCACTC